CGACGATAGTTTCAGGCATGCGGTGAGTTTGGGCAACAGTTCAAGAATGGAGTTTTTGGGAAAAGGAGACGTCAAATTTGAGGTTGACGGAGTGACTCAAATTGTAAGTGACGTGTTCTTTGGTTCCAAACCTGACTAATAATCTGTTGAGTTTTGGGCAATTACAAGAAAAGGGTATGGATGTTCTGATTAGCAAAGGAGTGTGTAAGATCTATCATCCTCGCAGAGGTTTGATTGTGAGCACAAAAATGACTGCAAATCGCATGTTCATTGTGTCAGCTATTATGAAAACCGATCCCAATCAATGTCTGAAAATCGAAGAAGATGAAGTGGCGACCCTCTGGCACAAGCGTTACGGACATCTCAATAACACATCTATCCAGAGTATGCATGACAAGAAACTGGTAAATGGTCTACCTCCAATGAAAGAAATCCCTAAGGTTTGCGAAGTCTGTAACATCGGAAAGCAACACCGAGAAATTATACCAAAGAAGAGCCAATGGAGAGCTGCGGAGAAGCTAAAGCTCATTCATGCAGACTTATGCGGCCCTATTTCTCCAACCTCTCACAGTGGAAAAAGGTACATCTTCCTTTTGATTGATGACTTTAGCCGCAAAAGTTGGATCTACCTTCTCTCTGAAAAAAATGAGGCGTTTGATACTTTCAAGATTTTTAAAGCTCTTGTGGAGAAAGAATCAGGAACAGAAATTGGTTGTTTGAGGACTGATAGGGGAGGAGAGTTCACCTCAAATGTGTTCAATCAGTTTTGTGAAGAAAATGGGATTAAGAGACAGTTAACCGCAGCCTACACGCCACAACAAAATGGTGTCGCCGAAAGAAGAAATCGCACAATAATGAATATGGTCCGATGCTTGCTTACGGAGAAGAGTATGCCAAAGCGTTTTTGGCCTGAGGCTGCAAAGTGGACATGTCATGTGTTGAACAGAAGTGTGACAAGTGCGGTGAAAGACATGGTGCCTGAAGAATGCTGGAGTGGGATATAACCGAGCGTGAATTATTTCAGAGTGTTCAGTTGCATCGGCCACGCACACGTACCAGAGCAGCGAAGAATAAAACTTGATAGCAGAAGCCGAAAATGCATTCTTCTTGGTGTAAGTGAGGAATCGAAAGCATATCGACTCTATGATCCAATCTCCAAAACAGTAGTCACTAGCCGAGATGTGATTTTGAAGAGGAGGAGAAGTGGGATTGGAGCGCAGATGAGAAAGGTCTCAGTGATGTCTTAGATTGGGGAGAAGAAGAAGATCAAAACAGAGAAGATGGCGCAGAAGAGATCGAAGAAGAGGGTGAAATCGAGGAGCATCTCAATGTTGAAAATCTCAATTCTCCGCAGCCAGAGATACGCGAGCAACGAGAGAGAAGGGCACCTATTTGGATGCAAGACTATGAAAGTGGGGAGAGGATCTCGGATGGAGAGGCTGAAGCAGAGTTGGCGATGGCTCTGTTTTTATCTCATGGTGATCCAGTCCAGTTTACAGAAGCAAGTAAAGAAGAGAAGTGGATGGAGGCAATGAGAAGCGAAATTCAGTCCATTGAGAAGAATGATACTTGGGATCTTGTAAGATTACCGGCTGAGGCCAAAAGGATTGGAGTCAAATGGGTTTTCAAAACCAAGCTGAATGAGGATGGAAAAGTCGATAAATACAAGGCGCGTTTGGTCGTGAAAGGTTATGCTCAAGAAGAAGGCATTGACTATGATGAAGTCTTTGCTCCGGTAGCTCGTTGGGATACAATTCGAATTCTTTTGGCTGTGTCTGCGCAAAG